CCACCTCCATTTTATTTTGTCTCTTCTGTCCTCAGTCTAATTGGCTCCTAATCAAAACTTTTAATTCTGCATTTCTATATTAATTTAATTACCTAAGTCCTTAGTACAATATAATATGTTTCTGATATTATTTTAGAAATAATAACAAACTCCACTGACAATGATGATAACAGCATTTATAAAGTGCATATTCTATGCACTTCATCAATCACTATGTATCACTTCCCTCTACCCTAATAGCAACTTTCTGAGGTAGGCACTAAATTTTTTCCCCATTTCATATCCAAGGGAAAGTAGGCTTGGATCATTTAGTAGCATGCTTAAGTTCAGACAGCTGGTGATTTTAGAACCAGATTTTGTATCTAACAGATTGATCCAAAGCCCAAGCTATTGACCACATATGGGTCAGCTGCCTGGCCAGGGACCGAAGTTGTTAGTACAGCAGTGGCTGTGATTACTTCATAGTGCTGAGACTTAACCCCTGTGCCACCAGGGAGGCCCAACAATTCTTTTTTAGTCTATTGTCTGCATCAGCTTTATTTTAGGTGTTGGATATACAGCAGAGGAAAAGACAGACAAGATCTGGAGCTTAAATTACAATGGAACAGAAAAACAATACACCAATAGATTATGTACTATAATGTCAGGTAAGGATGAACAGTCTGAAAAAAATTTAAATCAAGATCCTAGAGAGTTACAGGTGAGGTATGCTGGAGTGAGTAACAGCTTTAAGAGCTGATTGTTAAATTTTCAAAAATACTGAGATTATTATTAAAATTTTGTTTGAAATCAATCATGATGGGAATATTTATACCACAGAAATTAGCAAATGCTACAAAGGAGGGTTCCTTCTCTATTGAGTGAGCTGGTTGTTTACCAGTTACCAGCATTCCACTGGTACTCAGGATGATTTAGACAAGATGGTTTGAGACCAATTAAAGGGTGGCATATTTCAAGTGGAAATACCTTCGGTAGCAGCCTTGTCATCAAGAAATTCATCATGCAGTGGAGACAGACTTGCAGAAATAACTGCATAAGGACGTGTGTTTTGAGAGGGGAGAGGGGAGGAATAGCGGACCAAGCCTGAGAGAATCATGTTTATACTAAACTCTGATGAATCCCAGATCTGTAATTTGCAATGAGAAAATCCCTCTTTCTGTTCCCTAGCTACAAGATAAGACAATGAGGTCAGTGTTTTTTGTTTTCTTTCTAAAGATTTATTTTATTTATGCATACAGAACTGGGGTACAGGCCAGAGGTGCAGGGGCAGTGAGAGGATTCACCAGAGACAGAGTGGGGAGCAGAGCAGGCAGGTTGATAAAGGCAGATTGAGGGGAGCAGCAGCCGGTCAGCAGAGGTCTGCCGCGCCATGTGGGTCACCTCCAGGGCCGGGGATCGAACTCCTGCTGTCGTGGCTTCAGAGTGTTTCATAATGTGGTGCTTTAACCTGTTGTGACACCAGGGAGAGCCCTATTTTTATGTTTAACTTAATACTGCAGTGACAGCGTTGCATAGGAATTAGTGGTATAGGATCACACTGTTCGGATGTGTTACCACAAAATACCCATCACCAAAGCACAGAGTCCACTACAGTCCACTGTGCCCCTCCACTTTGTAATACTTCCCCGCCCCTCTAGTAGCTTCCATCTACAGTCAGCCTTCTAAGATTTATTATGGAGGGGGTGGGGTTATTTGATCTTGTTAAAGAGGTTTGGAATTTACCCTAAGAAAATTGGGAAGCTTTTGAAAGTTTTTAAGCAGGGTGACATATTCACATTATGAATAATCACCTGTACTGCAGCAAGGAAATAGAAGGGAAAATGGAGTAAACCTGCTGTCTTCTTTAGGGTTCCCTCTTCTAGCTGGCCAGGTATTTTTATATTGCTGCAGCTTTCAGGATTGTGTCCTAAGCATAACTAATTTATTTTCTGCTAAAATAAAAATGATAAAAATGCAAAATAGAAAATTATTGAGTCACTCTGGTAAATAATGTATCTTTTTTTTTGTTTTTTATTTCCCAAAAGGAATGACTATATTTCTAAGTGTATCGATTACATTTTCAACACTTCTGTAAAGGCAATTTATGATGAATTTCAGAGAGGATTTTATAAAGTCTGTCACAAGGACATTCTTAGTTTCTTTCAGCCTGATGAACTAATGACAACAATGATTGGAAATACTGACTTTGACTGGGAACAATTTGAAAAGGTCAGTGATAACCAAACTGTCCTGAGTTTTCCTAAGCAATTTCTTAATATCCCTCGTAAAAATCATTTTCTCCCTCTTTTTCTCAAGAATTCAGCTTATTGCGATGGGTACTACAAATCACATCCTACTATACAGATGTTTTGGAAAGCTTTCCATGAATTAACTTTGGAAGAAAAGAGGAAATTCTTCTGTAAGTATTGGGTCTCTAATTTTATATTATTTATTATTTATTTATGTTTGTTTTAAAGACTTTTTTTTTTCTGTAGAACTGGGGTGTAGACCAGAGGTTGGGGGTGGGGGTGGGTGAGAGGATTTACCAGAGACAGAATAGGGAGCAAAGCAAACAAATTTACTGCCATACACTGCTAAGAGAGCAGAAGAGGTCTGCTAGGCCATATGTGGGTTAGTTTCCTGGCTGGAGATCAAACTCAGGCCATAGTGGTGATAGTGCTGAGATTTAACCACTAAGCCACCAGGAAGGCCCAATTATATATATATATTTTTTTTAAAGATTTATTTATTTATTTGTACAGAACTGGGGTACAGGCCAGAGATGCGGAGGGTGAGAGGATTCACCAGAGACAGAGCAGGGAGCAGAACAGGCAGATCGACGAAGTACACTGCTGAGGGGAGCAGCGGGGGGGCAGGAGAGGCCTGCCACGCCATGTGGTCACCTCCGGGGATCGAACTCATGCGGATGTGGCTTTAGTTTCTCAGTGCAGTGCTTTAACCCGCTGCGCCACCAGGGAGGGCCCCAATTATATATTTTTTAGCAACTTTCTGAGGTAGGTACTGAATTTTTTCCCTATTTCATATCTGAGGAAAAGTAGGCTTGGATCATTTAGTAGCATGCTTAAGTTCAGACAGCTGGTGATTTTAGAACCAGCTTGTGATAAAATCATCACTCATGGTGGGAACACATTAACAGCTATGCTGTTATAACAGCTAACAGCAGTGGCAGGGTTAGTACCCAGGTACCCAGTACCTTCTAGATCAGTGTTTATTTGCTTACATAAGCTTATGTCCCACTGATTAAAAAAAATAATAATAACAAATTCATCACTATTTTATTACCTCCTCTACACTGATTCATACCCACCTCCATTTTATTTTGTCTCTTCTGTCCTCAGTCTAATTGGCTCCTAATCAAAACTTTTAATTCTGCATTTCTATATTAATTTAATTACCTAAGTCCTTAGTACAATATAATATGTTTCTGATATTATTTTAGAAATAATAACAAACTCCACTGACAATGATGATAACAGCATTTATAAAGTGCATATTCTATGCACTTCATCAATCACTATGTATCACTTCCCTCTACCCTAATAGCAACTTTCTGAGGTAGGCACTAAATTTTTTCCCCATTTCATATCCAAGGGAAAGTAGGCTTGGATCATTTAGTAGCATGCTTAAGTTCAGACAGCTGGTGATTTTAGAACCAGATTTTGTATCTAACAGATTGATCCAAAGCCCAAGCTATTGACCACTAAGCTTCATGGTCTTGTGGTGTAAAAACTTCTGGGAACCCAAAGGTTTCCCTGGGACAGACTGACTGACTTATTTTCTCATCTACTCCTTCCCTTTTTCATTTTTTCTGGAGATAGGTATCTTTCTTTTTGTCATTTTCTGTTGTTACTGAGGGTGTGGGAGGACAATTCCAGTTTCTTTTCAACCAAACTTATTTTTTCACTAACCGAAAGTTATGATTAAAGGGAATTTCTGTTTCAGCACATTGGTTTCATTTGTACCTCCAATGAGTTTATGTACATCTTTCTGCCTCTGACATTTTACTTAGGATCCCCTTCCACTCTCTTAAACCCTCTCCTCCACCTTGAAATCCAACCCTTCTTGGCCTTGAGAACTAGCCAAAATTGAAGTCTCCGGACTAATCCAGTTGTGGCCTTTGTCCCTGTCCTGAGTCTTAGGGCTTTTACTAGGCTCTCCCCCTCATACTTCGAGCTGAGCTAAACTGAAATTTCTTGTACCTTGCTGCTATGTTTTCATGTATGTAATTTTCCCCAAACTAGACCAGAAACACACTGAGGGCAAAGACCAGATGTCATGATTTTTCCATGCTCTAAATGTGCCTACGCAGTTCTTTGTGCACAAGTATACACAGTAAATATTCATTGGATGAGATATCTAGTTTCCTCTTAAGATTTTTTTTAACATTTTAACCAATTTTATGCCTTTCTAGTTTTTCTTACAGGAAATGATAGGCTACATTTAAGAGGTGTAAAGGAGATGAGAATCACAATTCGCTGTCCTGAAACTTTGAGTGAAGAAGATCACCCAAAATCATTGACATGTTATAGTATTCTGGACTTACCTAAATATTCTACCATGAAAAAAATGAAGAATGCACTTCAAGTCATCACCAGTATGAGCAGAGGATTCCAGTTAAAATAGAGAATGCTGTGAGGCCTCACTAATGTCCTCTCACTCTGGATTCTTTTATTCTTCTTTAGATTTAAGAGTACCAACATTCAATGGATTTAGTGAGAACTAATTGATAAAGCTGGATAAAAAAATGAAGTAATGAGTGAGTCACTCAATCATTAATGAGTCAACATTTCCTAATCCCTAACTTACAATTAGATTACTTGCCATTACTCGATCTTTTTTCTGACTAATAATTATCATTTAAAAATAAACGAAATAACAGAGAGATGAAATTACTGCCATTGCATATCAAGGATAGGCCTAGAGTGTATTATGCTACATGAAACAAGTCAGATGGAGAAAGACCATTAACAGTATGATTGCATTTATCTATACAATATGACAAAACAAGTAAATAAAATAAAACAAAATTAAACTTTTAGATACCAAAAAACAGATTAGTGGTACAGAACAGGGAGGGGATCGGCAGGTTGGATGAATGAATACAGGGTATCAAGCGAATGGTGCTGGATGGAAACTAGATTTTAGGTGATGATCATGATGTAATATATCCAGATGTTGAATTATAAAGCTGTACACCTGAAACATATATTTTATAAGTCAACATTACCTTTATAAATATCTATATATGTACTGCCAAAGTAAGCGTTTTAATAAACAAATTTTTTAAACTTATGCAACTAATATTTTCTATAAATGTGAAAAAAGCGGGGAAGTTTGAAAAAATAAAATATAACTAACTCAACATGATTTTGAAACATGTAGATGTAAAATTTATATTTTGGAATATCTTCACAGTTTTGAAATAAGCCAACTGCTGAAAATGTACTTGAAAAATCTAAATGTTAAGGGACTTATTCATTCATTCAATAACTACTTCTACTCAATATCATGTTCTAAGAATCATTCTAAATGATTAGTGTTTCAGTTAAACAGTGAACCCACTAGGAAATCCTATCTTATTGTAGTTGGGGAAATGCCTTAGTGTAATGGCTTTAGAACACATTAAAAGAAAAATATAAGTATGATTGGAATTGGTCAATAAATTTTACAGACAGGTTCTAACATTATTTTTCTTTAAAGATTTTTTAATTTATTTATGCAGAGAAGAACTGGGGTATAGGCCAGAAGTGGAGGATGGATGAGAAGATTCACCTGGGACAGAGTGGGGAGCAGAGCAAGCAGAACCACTGAAATATACTGCTGAGGGGAGCAGCAGGCAAGATAGGAGAGGTCTGCTGTGCCATTTGGGTCAGCTCCCTGTCTGGATTCCAATCCAGGCCACAGCAGGCTATGATATGATAGTGCTGAGACTTAACCTCATGGTCAACAGGGAAGTCCTAAGGTTTATTTAATTGTAGGCTGTTCTATAAATGTCTTCTATTATACCAAACCATACATAAGAAATCTTGTGTCAGTGGTAGTTTGGGAAAGGAAAGAGTATTGGGGTGCTGATGTGGAAAGAGTGCAGGAATTACTTGAGGACAGAAGAGAGAGTATCCATCAAAGACATCAGAAAGTGAGAGGGCCAGTAAGAATATAAGCCCCCAGGCCCTCCCTGGTGGGCCCTCCCTGGTGGGCAGCACAGCACAAAGAAGCTTAAGCCACTTCTGCATGAGTTCGATTCCCACCTGCCCCAGAGGTGACCACATGGCGTGGCAGACCTCTCCTGACCTGCCCACTGCTCCCCTCAGCAGTGTACTTCCATCGATCTGCCTGTTCTGCTCCCCACTCTGTCTCTGGTGAATCCTCTCGCCCTTGGCATCTCTGGCCTGTACCCCAGTTCTGTATGAATAAATAAATAAATCTTAAAAAAAAAAGAATATAAGCCCCCAATGATTCCTCAATTATTTTAAACATACTTAGCTTCTTACAATAAATGGAGTAATGGTTCAGAGGCATTCTATTTGAATTGTAAGGAAAAAACATAAGTTCTAAATCTAAGGGCTCCCCAGGCACCTGACTTTTGGGTTTTGTTTGTCAGGCCTTTTGTCTCCAGCATTAGGAGTGACTATGCTAAACATTTAAGGAAGTGAGCGACCAATTCTTTATGTTCTCTTTCATAAAATAAGAAATCAATCAATCAATCAATCAATTCTATAATGCCTGTATTATCCCAGTACCGACCAGGCAAAGACATTACAGGAAAAGAAAAATATGTCTCTCATGAATAACACACAAAAATATTTTACAAAATTTAACAGGTCAAACATAGCCAACAAAATAGTACAAGGATAGCACCTTGCTATCAAATGAGGTTTAGTTCAGAAGTACATTTGAAAATCCATTATATTTCACCATAATAAGAAAGAAAAATTAGATAATTACCACAATAGAAAAAAAAACTGACAAAATTTGATGGTCATTAATGCATGATAAATACTATTAGCTAATTAAGACCAAAAAGTAATTTCCTTAATCTGATAAAGTCTACATATAGTTAACTTCGTACTTCTGGTGTTAACTTATATGTCTTCCCTTACTAAAACTGGGAATAGGGTAAAGATGTCCTTCAGGTTCTATTCAAAACTGGTCTGGAAATACTAGTACATATTACAGGGCAAAGAAAAAAGAAAAGGCATACTAACAGGTTAGGAAGAAAAAAAAATCTTATTTATATACTACATGATGAACTGTAGAAGATTCTAACAGATCTATAAAATGCAGCACTAGAACTAAGTGTGTACAGAAAGGTCTCAGGATTAATGGTGAATATATAGGAATAATATTTCTATATACTTGCAACAGCTAAATAGAAATTTTTAAAAGTGCTGTTTGCAATATCATCCAAAAAAACAGGAAATATTAGGGATAAACTCAGCAAAATGTTTGACTTATGCTGAAAACTAGAAAATATTTCTAAATTAAGAAGTGCTATTAGAGTGAGAAATGTTCAGAACAGTAACATTTTCCCCAAATTGATCTAACTTAGTATAAACTCAAATAAAATCCCTGCAGCTTGTTAAGAAATTGACAAATTGATAAAAAAAAATGTAGATGTGTGTATACAAAGAACCTAGACCAGTCCAATCAATATTGAAGGAAAATGGGAGGGCACTTGAATGTACTGACTTTAAGAACTCAGAATCTACAGTTGACTACCAAGGCAATGTGGTACTGAACTAAAAACAGACATAAAGATCAAGAAAAAATAAGAAAAAGTCCAGAAATGAATTGATTCGTATATGGACAATATAGATTTGACAAAGACCCCAAAGCAATTCAATGGGGAAGAGCATCTGAAATTTTTAGAAAATTGCAAAGGAAAAAAAAAATCAGTTTTTTGCCTCACACTGTAAGGAAATGTAACAACAAAAAAAAGAGAAAACAACAAAACGTCTAGAACATTTAAGAAAATCTTTGTTACCTGGGTTACAAAAGCATGAATTATTTAAAAGGAAAATAATGATAAGTTTTGTCAAAATTAAAAGCGTTAACTCTTCAAAACACACTTCTAGTGAAATTAAAAGGCAAGCCACAGCCTTGTAGAAAACATTTCAACGCATAAATCTGACAAAAGACTTTGTATATGCAACATAAAGAACGCTATTACATACAAGGAGCTTTTCAATAAGAAGCAATCAAATTAATAAATGGGGGAAAACTGAGGGAAAGAAGAGACTGACAAAGGAGATAAGGCAAATAAGCACATTAAAAGATATTCAATAGCACTAAGCACAGGGGAAATGGAAGTTAAAAACCAGAATAAGACATCATAGCAATTGTCAAATTTAAAAGATTGACAGTACAAAATGTTGGCAAAGATACACGACGATAGAAACTCGTCTAAACTGCTAGAGGAAATCCAAAATGGTACATACAGCACTTTGGAAAAGTTTGTCAGTTTCTTAGAAAGACACTCGTGTACTTACAAACTCACAAAGCAATTCCATTTTTAGATATTTACCCAAAGAAAATGAAAACATTTCTTTACTCTAAGACTCGTTCACAAATATCATAGCACCTCTGTTCATCCGAAAGATGTGAAATGGATGTCAGCGACGAAAAAGCAAATCGTAGTATAGCCGCGAAATGCCTCGACATCAAAGATGTCCAGATGAAACACAGCATGATGATGCTCAAAAGCAGTGTGCTAAGTGAAAACCGCCCGATAGGAAATAGCGCATGATTATGATGCCTTTCATAAGAAATCAAGAAAAGGCAAAAAACTAGATTAACAGAAAAACATCACTGGTTGCCCGGGTCCATGGAGAGAGCCGGGTGGAGGAGCGAGGGGAGGGGAGGATTGAGCGCAGTCTGCAGTTTCAGGGCGATCCCGCGGACTAGAGCCTGGAGCAGAATGCTTGACAGACGTTGGCTTCCCCATCACACCGTCTGCAAATGCTGCAAGAGCGCCCAAGTCAGGCTCCTCCTAGTGGAACCTCTGAGTTTCCTCGAAGGTGCTGGACTTCAGATGGCCACGCCCGTCCGGGCACGCCTTTTCGGGTCGCCCGCTCGCCTCCTCACCTGCCGGAGACCCGTTTACTTTGGTCTCCTCCCGCGCCAGGCTAGATGCTCGCGCTTCACGTGCCTTTTCCATTTCGATTCTGCCCGCTTCGAAAAGCTCAGTCCCGCGCGGCGCTCGCGGTAGAGCCTGGCTCCGCCCCCGAGCTGCACGTCGCGAGCCCCGCGTCGGGCAAGGCGGAGTGGGGGAGGCCGCGAAGCACAGACGCCGCGCGCTGTGGGCTCGCCCTGGCGCCTCCCAGCGACGCCGGGCCAGGGGGCGCGCTCGGCCTCGGCGGTTCCGGGCTCACGTCTCGCCGGGCGGCCGGCGGAGCTCCGTTTTCTCGTGAGGCCTCGGAGCGGAGGCGCGGCCGCGGAGCCCGGCGAAGCGGCGATGGAGCGGAGGTCGCAGAGATGGTCGCGGGGCGGCGCGCGCTCGGGGCCTCGGACGCCCCCCGAGTTCCGCCTCGCGGAAGCCCGGGGTTCCCAGCTCTGGCTATTCCCCGGCGCCGCGGGCCTCCGCCGCGCGCTGCCCCGCAGGACCGAGGCGATGCGCCAGATGTGCTGCACGCAGGGGCGCCTCGTGGTGCTGAAGCGCGGCGGGGCGGCCGTCGAGGTCCACCAGCTGCCGGTGGGGCGGGACGGCGCCAAGAAGCCGAGTGAGTGGGGCCGGGGGACCCCCACCGCGGGCGTGGTGGAGGGGTGGCGGGGGCCCGGGGCCCGAACGCGAAAGGGCAGGAGTTCCAGAGAAGGAGCCGCAGACTGGGACCCGACGCCAGCGGGCCCCGCGTGGCCTGGGTGTGGAGCGCGGGCGCCCCGCCGGGCTCGCCAGGGGGCGCGGAGTTTGCCGGACTCTGAGAAAATGACGGTTCACTCGGCAGCAGGCTGACCGTCGCCGGGGAAGGGACTACGCTACAGGCAGCATCTTCTTTTCGGCCATTCTCCTTGATCACTGGTTCTGTTTCAGAGTTTGCTTTTCACTCACTTCTTTTTAGCACCAGCCTTTGGCTGGTTCTGTCATTTTCACTAAAATACCGTAATTTGCAAGTCATTGAAAGAGTGCTCCTCTCCGTTGAGGTCACGTCCATGGAGATGAAGTCAAGCACTGCAGCTTCTGTTTTACAGATGGGGGAGAGAGCCAACTCCCCCAGTAAGCAAACTCTTAGCAATCTCTAAAATTTTATCCATGGTTGAGTGGATAATTCACTGTGTTGTGGAGTTTAACTTGGATAAAGTTATCCAGCATCTTTTCTTTCTTCGACTGATTATTTGCATTCCCTTTTCGGGGCACTGTTCCCTACATTTCTGCTTGGCATTTGAAAAATTGATGATTTTCTTACTGATTTGAAAGTTATTTGAATATTAATAAAAATAGCCCTTTGTTCGTCTTATAAATTGTAATAATTTTCCCACCTTGCCTTTAGAGGATGTTATTTTATAGCCTACCTCATTAATCTTTTCTTTTAATGGACTTTGTGTTGTTGGAAAACTTCAGATTTTTTAATGTACTCATCTTTATAGTTATTTAACCTGTTTGTTTTTAAAGTGTTTGAGGTATCAGGAAATTAGGGAACAAAAAATTCTAGAGAAACTGGATTTGTTGCTTCAAATGACTAGGCAGATTTTTTAAATTATCATCCTCTTTAAAAATATTGCCCCAAACAATTCTTCCTTTTAAGAATGTAGGCTTTGACTTCTGTGTGGAGCAGTCAAGAGGGGTTTATTGTTACTTGTTTCTGAATACCCAATATGTTGTTCCTAAAATGAGTTAATGTCCAAAAATTAAGTTCCATTTCCTTAATAGATTTTTCATTCCGTGACTAACTTCTTAGTGTGTGTGTATGTATATACATACATACATACATATGTATGTATATATATATATACACATACACATACACACATATATATACACATACACTAAGTCACAGGTGGTCATACTCCAAGCTGCATGGCTATTTTAAGGTTATGTTCAGTTTAAAACAAAAATTTTAAAAAAATTTAAAAAGTCTGTTGTCAAGATCATAGTCATTGTTAATTTGTCTCCATTCGATTGAATTTTTTCAGAAGTTCTTTCTAAGTCACAGTTTGTCTAGCTGAAATTTTTCTAGGTGTTTTAAACTAATAGTAATCAGAATAGTTCTTAATAATCAGAGTGATGGTAGTTTCTGATTGGATTTGCTCTGCAGAGTGCATTAAGTTAGGAAGAAGGATGAAAATACATTCACTGGATCAAGGAGTAGACCACATGCTGATTCTGTCCTCAGATGGAAAACCGTTTGAATATAACTATAGTGCAGAACGTGCAAGGTAGGGAACTTTTTTCCCTTCATTAAAAATTGTTTTAATTGAAATCCAAGGACCATCATAATTTTTCTAGGAAAATGTTAACGTATCATCCTTGTTTCATGCTTTGAGTAGCATCTTAACTAGAGACAGAAACTGACTGGAAGAAGTTCATCAAAAACTACAAACCAGTTAATGTCTCCTAAGGAAGATATCTTCAGTTGTTTTGGCAAAGAAATGATTTTCTTCCTGTATTGGGGCTTTCATGTTCATTCATTCATTTAACCCTCATAATAATCCTGTATATCAGATTTGTAGGAATAAAGTTTTCACCTTGGGAAAAAGTGTGCTGATATGTAATGATATGTGAGGCTTTCCTCTGGAGGATCATGTGAATGATCCTATTTTCATCTTATATTCCTGCATCATAAAAGAGTTCTTAGAATCATACTATTACATTATATGATACACATTATTTTCTTCTTATGTTGCTAGTTAAAACATTTTTTAAATAATAATTTTAGATGTATTGAATGTTAAAGTAGTAAATTTAAAATTTTTTGTTGAGCTCCATTCCTAGTTACAATTAATTGTAAACTCAATTTATGGCTTTCATTATGCCCATTGTTATGAAATTAATTTTCTTTTTTCAGGTTTCATTGCATCTTACAAGAAAAAATTATAATTCAGGTCACATGTGGAGACTATCATTCACTTGCACTCTCAAAAGGTACTTTTCTATAATAGTTTTTTGAAGAGTAAGTATGTGCTTATATTGCTAGCAGACTCTATATGCTTCACTTTGTGAATAGAACAAAAATCTGACTGAATTTGATAGAGTCAGAGCACTTTTTTTTTCCTTTTTACTTAGGTAACATTAGTTTACAAAACTTTGTGGTTTCTACTATACAATTTCTCACCTCACCTTACCTCACACAACACTCACACACGTGTCATACCATGCCCACAGCAAGTGGCCAATCATCACCCACCACCAGCCACCACACCGAGTCTCCTCTGTCAGTACCTCCACCTCTTTCCCCTCTGGTTGCCACCATTCCATTGTTTGAATCCTCAGTGTTTGTTTCATTTTTGTTTGTTCTTTCCCCTTTCCCCCTTTGTATTCCACAAATGAGTGAAATCCAACGGTATTTCTTTCTCCTCCTGAATTGTCCTAATATAATCCCCTCAAGGCATATCCATGTTGTCAGAAAAAAAAATTCATCTTTTTTTAATGGCTAGAGCAGTTTTGTTTTTTATTTTGTTTAGTTTATTGAGGGTCATTAGTCAGTATCTAAGCTTCTGTTTACCCTAATCCTCAACTCTGCTGGTAAGTCCTAGTCCATTAGTTACCTCTGAGCCTCTAAAGAGACTCAACCCTGGTCTTCTGCCTCAGTATTGTTAACCTTTCAGATTCCTAGTTTACAATTATTCACTTTTGAATTGACTTTTCTGCTTTCTTCCCCCCCAGCCTTTATTAAACCACCCATGAGCTTATCCCATCTACCTCCCTCCACTACCCCCTTCACCTTTTCCCACATTCCTTCTGGTAATAACCATTATCTTCTTTTTGCTGAGTTTAAGTTTTTGCATATGTTTTTTAAATATTTGAACTTCAGAGATGAGTGAAATCAATGTCAGTCTTTCACTTTTTGACTGATCTCACTCACTGTAATCACCTGAGATGGTGGCATTTTGTCCCAAATGCCACCATTTCATCTCTGTTCACAGATGTATAAGACAACTTTGAGTATATGTTCCACAATGTTCTCTCTTTATTTTTCTATTGAGGAACTTGGCTGGTTCCATGACTTGGCAGTTGTGGACAATGTTGCTGTATACATAAGCATGGATGAGTATTAGTTTGTATTACAGTTTTCATATATTTGGATAGATACCTAATAGATGTATTGCTGGATCATCCACAATTTCCATTTTTATTTTGAGAAATCTCCCATAGTGTTTTTGACAGGGGCTCTACCAACTTGCATTCCCAGCAGAAGTGGGTAAGTGCTCCTTTTTCATCACAACCTCACCAACATTTGTTCATTCCTTTCTTTTTTTATGTGAGCCTTTCTCACATGGTTTGTGGTATGTCAGTGTGGTTTTTAATTTTTATTTCTTTATAATAAGTGATGTTGAACGTTTTTTCATGTCTGTAGGCCATTTTAATAATTTGTTTAGAGAGTATTAATTGAGGTCCTTTGCACATTTTTTTCTAATTCGGTCATTTGTTTCTTTGTTGTTGTATTGTGTAAGAACTTTGTATATTTTAGAGATTTTTCCCTTGTCAGAAGTGTAATATACAAATTCCACACAAATAATATTTTTTTTCCCATTCTGTAGGTTGCTTTTTTTTTTTGTTATGTTTTCTTTTAAAGTGAAAAATCTTAAGTTTTATGTAGTTCCACTTACTTATTTTAGCTTTTGTTTCCCTTGCTGTTGGGGTTGTATTCCCAAATACATCTTTGTGGTAGGTATCCTACAGTGTGCCCCTTATATTTGCAATGAAGTACTTTATGTTTTTGATTCTTATGTACAAACCTTTAATGCATTTTGAGTTGATTTCTCTATATGGAATCAAATATGGGTCTTGCTTTTTTTTTTTTTTTTTTCCTGCAAGGGACTGTCATGTTACCCAACACTTTTTTTTTTTTTTATTTTTTTTTTTTATTAAAAAGTTT